CTTATGTTGGAAGGTCTTCGTTTCCTGAAGGACAGCTTGCTAGGTTTAGTATTTTTGGCTGTTGGTTATTTTCTTGTAGGACTTGAACTATATCATTCTGTGCCTACCAGGCTTGTAGAGTTTCTGCTGAAAATTTTTGTTAGCCTAATGGGGTTATCCTTAAATGTAACTTGGGCTTTTCTCATATTTTTAAGTTCTTTCTTGGTCCTGTATTTTAGCATTTTGACTATAATATGCCACAGTGATATTTTTTCTGATCATGTGTATCTGGGGTCCTACTGGTCTCCTGTATATGGATGGCCTTGTCTTTTCTAAGATTAGGGAAGTTTTCTGTGCTCTTACCCTCTTGTTTCTCCCCTTTGGACATACCAGTGATGTGGAGTTTGATCATTTAATGGTGTCTCAACTACCTTGAATCCTACCTTCATACTGTTTTTGTTGTTACTAAATGTGATATTTTGAAATATCTTCCTTCAGGTGTCAATATTCTTTGTTCTTGATCTTGTTTGTTGCTGAGGATTTCAACTGACATTTTATTTTGATTTATAGAGCCCTTTATTTCCAAGTTTGGCTTTTTTTCAGAAACTTTTCTTGTGTTCCTATATTAAGATTTGTGCATCTGAAAAAAATGGATGTTTATATCACTTTTATGGGATGGCCTTCTTCTGTCTTAGGGGATCAGTTTCTTATGCAATATTGAATTTATTTCCAGTTCAGCCCAATGCAACTGTTCTATAGTTTGTTTTTGTGAATTTGAGCATAGAATATACTGTGTCAGAGAGCCATACTGTCTCTGTAGGTCATGCAAGAATGAGGCTATTCTAGCAGTTCAGGCAGGTGTGGTGTAGACAATAGGGTATACCCTGTATTGTTACTCCTGCAGTTGGAACCATCACCACTATTAGGTAATAGAGATTCCTCAGGCACTGTTGATATTGAATCTGTGGCTTGTAAGGGTCTCCGGTATTTGAGGTACCTGGAGTGGTGAGGTGTCTGAAACTCTTGTCCTCTGGCTAGATGGCTGTGTGGACACACATGCTTCATGGGTAGTGGTGGGGACAAGAATCACCCTTTGTGGTATTTATACCAAGTCTTGTCAGCAGTGAAAGATCAGAGAAGTTGTGGCCAGTGCGTGGACCTGTGGCAGTAATTGTTTTCCTCTCTGCTTTGACTGTTGGAATGTCCATGTAGGAGTGGGGCCTTAGCCCTCCTAAGTCTAGGAATGGGTTGACAGCTAGGGGTTTTCTCCCACCCACCAACCCAATTAATTCAGCTGTAGTGCCAGCCAGGGATTGAGTGGGAACAGAATGTGGCTGTCACGAGAGAAACTTTCTAGACCTTCTTAGGCTGCTTGCCTTGGTGGGTAGGTTAGTAGTGGAGCCACAAAGTTCTTTCCCTACCTTGTTAGTGACAGGTACTTGTGCTTACCTCTGGTGGGGGTGAGGGCAAGAAACCGTGGGAATCTCATGGATAATTGCCTCTGGTCCTGGCCCTGATGTGAAATCATATAGTCACCTCGCCATACCCTTGGCCTCAGAAGGCAGGATCCTGGTCCTCTGGTTCTTAAAGGTGACGTCCTTCCCTTTCCCTCACCTGTTGCAATACTCATCCCCTATGGTGCCGTGCTCTCAGTGGTTTTATGTCACTCACTCTACCTAGCCAACATGGTTCTTGAGGCAGAGTTTAAACACTGAGTATAGTGGGATGTCTGTGGCCTCCAAGATGTGAAAAGGCAGGATTTTCTGACCCCAAGACCAGCTCAAACTCAGATAATAAGTCCTTCTCAAGATGGCTCTTGCCTAAGCATCCTGCGGGGTTGCTGGGATACGGATCCCTTTTCCAAAGCCAGGATACTACACCAATTTCAGATTACTTACCTGGTCAGACTGTATACCTGTATGGGTTGTAAAGCCTTCCAGTAGCTGGGATCACCAGGATTCATACTGATAGAATTTGCTGGGGTTCTTTCATCTTGAGCCCGGCAGAGGGGAGATGCCCCCTTCCCCTGCAGGTGCCAGATCCTGTGTTTCTCTTCCTATGCTGTTGTCCCAGGCCTTTGGATATCACAAGGTTTCCACTGATATCCAGTGTTCTCCTCTGACCACTCACATCAATATGCAGTTTTGATCCTATTGCTTTGGTTCTTTTGTGAAAGAGCAGGAGAGGACTAGGTGCCTCTATTCAGCCATGCTTCCCACGGATTTATTAGATTTTTAAAATGATTTATATAAATTTATGCCATCTAGTCTGTTTCTTTTAGTGGAACTGTGCATATGATTTTCACTTGTCTTAAATATTAATTTGGTCAAATCAATTTCTTTGTAACTAAAAATTATTCTTTAATCCTAGATTATGAAGACAGTTATTCTGAACCATTACATTTTGACTCAATTGTGAGGTATGAAATTCATCTTGGTTTCATTTTTGTTATGCATTGAAATCTAGTTTTATATAATAAAAGTATGCATTCTACATTATATAGAAATATATATTAATATGTACACTTAACTATTCAACCCCAAATGATACCAGTGTCTCAATATGAATAGCCGTGTTTCTTAGGAACCTACTTAAATTCATTGTCTGTTTATATATTTCTATGCAAATAGAAAGTCATTTCATCCCTCTCGGTCTCCAATACTTAAGGGAGACATTTAAATAAAATGATTTGATTCATGAAGTTTAAGAGCTAAAAGAAAATCTTATCTTTCTCAGGAAATATCAATGTAGATGCTGACAATATAGACCTGTATTAACTTGTCAAACTTGAATGCTTTTCTATAAAGGAGACAAAAACATCATGGGCTTTTCATTTTAGCCTTTTCAGGTTGGAATTTTGACAATCAAGTAAAACCAATATAGTTAAATGATCTAAATACACCAACCATGTAGAGATTGGCCTTAGAGTTTTTTGTTTTGTTTTAGATACAAGTTGACAAAGTGTGTGTTAGCTAAAGGTATCATACTGTAATTGTAAAAATTATAGCTTTCTTTTAACCTGGCTTTGAGTTACCTATACCAGTAATGGGGTATGTTAGTAGTGTTTTGCTGTTCTAATGTCTAAGAACAAGGAGCAATAATGCATAGAAGGGTCAAGTCGCCAAGAAGTTGTCATAATCTTAAATGTGTATACCTAATAACAGCTTCACAATTAAAAGAAAAACAACAGAAATAAATTCACAATTATGTTTGGAGACATCCACAGTTTTTCTCAGTACTAGTAGAAAATCAGAATATTGAAGAACATTCTCTGTCAACCAACTTCACTTTACTGTAGAACACTTCATCTAGCAGCAAAGAATATATTCCTTTCTAGTGCATTTTAAACATTTAGACTGAAACCATACAGAGTGAATGCTTTAACCATGATGGAGTCAAACTGGAAATAAAATATATTTAGAAAAGTCTCTAAATATTTGGAAATTTTATCAGATACTTACATATAACCAATCCATCTAAGAAGTTACCTGGGAAATTACAAAGCACTTTTAAAAGAATGATAACTAAATCCAGCATAGCAATTTGTGGAATTTATTTAAGGTAGTGCTTTCAGGAAAATTTGTGACATTATGTCATTTATTTAAAAAGACAAAAGGAATAATCATCTAATGTCTGACTTTAATAAACCAGAAGGAAAATTAAACCCAGGTTAGGCAGGTGAAAGAAAATAGGACCATTAATATATATCAGAAAGACAGGAGGACAAAAACAGTAACATGCCAACTGATTTAAAAATGTACCCTGATGCTGAGTGTGTGTGTGTGTGTATATATATTTCATAGATTGGGATTTATCTAGCATCAGGAACCATGCCCTAGTTTGAGGTTCTGCAAAACTAACACTAGAAGCCTGTAGCAGAAATATCACTGACCTGGGCAATCCAGGAGTACGAGGAGCAAAGGGACCAGCTGTTTCAAAGACTGGGATGATCACAGAAGCAGGTAGTGCCAGGGGAGGGCAGTCTCTTCCCTGTGTGCCCAAGAAGTCTTCCAAATGAAGGGAGAATCAGACATTCATCCAGGGACATTCCCTGAGTCTTAGGTTAATATGATTATTTTCATTGTTTGTGGCAACCACAGGTGCTATATTGGGCTAGGTAGTATAATAATATCTTTATGTAGCTTAAGCAAATTAAGAGAAAATAAACCTTACTTCAAACTTTTTTAAAAAGACCCAATGAAAGATATTAGACTAGGATTGTCATTCTCTGAGATAAATTCAATATATAAATTATAAAAATAAGTGAATTAGAGGTTCTTAAGGATATGTGATTACCTTAAATAATAATTCTTCAGAATTCCTTTGAATAATAAATGCTCCATTAAGGTTTTAAATACTCTGGCCAAATTTGATTTCTGTGCATATCTTTAAGTACTTGTAATGTGAGGTTTAGATGTGCAGAGCTTTTGCTTTTATCTAGAATGAATAAACTGCCACATGTGTTAATGGAGCATTAAAGTTGACAGAGCTTACTGCCAACCTTAGAGGGATTTTGGAAGTAATACAAGAGGTATTGTCCTGACTACAGCAGAAAACACTTAGGCCTTTGGAGAAAAACAAATGACAGGATTTATAACCATTTCAAAATTACTATCATAATATAGGTACTAATGAGTAAACATATACTGCAAAAATCTCAAAGCAGTCCTGAACTGCCATTTATTCAAATGTTTCATGCTTTATAAAAGTGTTTGTCATATCCTGTAAAACAATAAATCATTTTAAGATAAATCTGACTTTTTCAATTAATTGATGAAAACTTTTATAATTTTTAATTTCCTTCACAGGTTTAACAATGTTCTACAAGATATAGGTAAGTACACTTCCTTATTTTCAGTGTCATGTTCATGGAAGCAGCTATACATTATAAGAAAATAATATCTGTTGAATGAAAATTAGAACTAAATAATATGAAGAGTGTTATATAGGGTAAAAAGGGCATGGTGTTTTTATTAGTAATTATTTGCATAGATAAAATAAGAAGGCAAAAGTGTTGCAAATGCTTAGTATACATCCATTTATTAATGCATATGCCAGAGATCGCATCATACTATACATTTGGAAAAGTCATTAACAAAGCAATAGCCTAAGAGTTTAACACAAATTAGCCAATCTCACTGGTCTGGGTGTTTTCACACCCAGTAGCAGAATGAGTAGTGTCATCTTTCTCAGAACCAATCTGTTCTTTAACATATTAGGCCAGCTTGTACAAAACAATCGATGTAATAAGTTCCTGTTTCTGCATGTGTAGGTAGTCCACTAACAGTTATGACCATAAATTACAATTACTATTCTGTAACCAAGGAGTTGGGCACAGATTCCAAAAAAGGCAGATCCTAAAACTACAGAAAATGCAATATTTATAAGCTATTTCATAATTTTATAAAACAATGTTGGGATATCAATGTACTAAGCTGCATTGTTTTCCTATTGAATATGATGCATTTTGGGCTTATAAATAACAAACTGAAGAAATTGCTTACAATTTTGCATTTTGTCCTTTCACTAAATAGATGAATACGTGAATTTTGGCTCCATTGCAATGTATAGTAATGCTGCATTCAGTATAAATCACTGTTTTTTTTTAACAAAAGAAACATTTAACTGATTATAGTCATAACTGTCAGAGGGAAATTACTAACAGAACAGTTATTCCATAACATTTCTAAACCATTAAGCCTATGACTTTCCAAAGAATAATTATGGTAAAGCTGAGACATAATGCTATGTGGCAAATGCATCAACTTACCTTTTTTTTTTTTTTTTAAACAAATGTGATGTGACCTTGGCAGTTTTAAAGAACATAGGTTTGTCAATATATCAAACGTTAACAAACTATTTAGCATTGCTTTGTGTAAGTTTGCTTTAATAGCATTTCTTCACAGTGATATTTCAGAAAGGTTGGAAACTGGTCAGCATAAAATATTTCCCACCTTTTCTATTTTAATTTGTATGCAAAAATCATCACAATATATCTGCAGCTATAAAATTACAAATACTTTCTAGAAGTCACTGCATTTCTAGTTATGGTAGAAAAGGGTCTTTACTCAGATGAATGAGGTAAGGCTAAAACAGAAGTTGAGTAACAAATGATTTCTGATGGTGCCATATAAACTAATGTAACAAAGATAACTAATGGACAAACTTAAAAAACTTTTCATTTGTTTCATGGCTAAGAAATTGGTAATGAGATGAAATAAACACTTAAAGATAATCTTGATATTTTACTTTACATCATAATTTTGGCACTTCATGGAACATTGATTTCCCAAAGACCAGAATTGGTATAAAAGTTCAGCAGGTTTTGCACATACCTTGTTGACATTGTACTTGAGTACTGGCAAACAGTGAAACGTAGTGAAATAAACATTCCCATGTATTTGCACATGCATGCAGTAGTCAATGAGAGTTTATGGATTCTCAAAGATATTTCAGTATTTGTTTCAAGCACTCTCTTCAGTAGATCTTGTTTCAGATTTAAGTCTTACAAATTCTTTAGCAACATCATCGTTGGTCCTTTGAGAGAGTATTCTGAGGATAGTCAAACCAGTTTCATCCATGGAGACATTTTTCAAAAGAGGATACCAAGCCCCATAGCTTCCTTTTTCAGCTATGTTCTGTAGTTGAATTACTGTCATTCCAATAACTCGATCTTCTCGGGCAAAGCAGTAATCCTTAACTGACAGGTGAAGTTCATAAGCCCCTGGACGGTTTTCATTACCTAGAACGCTGTGTGAATTAGAAATACAAATTGAGCAGATTTTACTTATAATTCTAAAATACTAACATTGTGTACCTTGCTCAAAAAGGTTATGGTGGCAAATAGAGAAGCAATGTATTTTAACCATGACCCTTTAAATTTTACTTAAGATTTTCCATTAAAATTTATGACAGTAACCTAACTTACTTTAGATAGAAAAAAAATACTGCCTTAATGGTAAGCATAGTGATCAAAATGAGAAGTAAAATACTGTGTTGTTTAATTATTAAAATCAGGATTTCACATATTCTCATCGATAAAGACTGTGGCTAGGATGGGGAGCTAGTTTTGAGGGGTACTCTTTGAGGAATCTCTATGCTAATTCAACATCAGCAACTATTATCTTTACCCAAGGCTCCTGGAAAAGCTATTATATCTAAGTGCCTTTACTCAGGGGAATAACTATGCTACAATAGATACAAATCTCCAGCCTACATCAGTTCCAGTAGAGTCTGGTACTTCAATGCCGATTCCTTCCTACAGTTAGGCCTGTCAAGTGTGTAGCTGAGGGTGGCCTCTACTAGCAACAGCCTACGACAACCTGTCAGTGTAGAACTGCATATTTTGAAGAAGGTTGAGTGGTGATATTCTGGGAATAGTCTTCTTCCACCCATTATTTTAATTCCCTCAGATGTTCTTGGCTTTTTAATGAATGCACATATATCTGTCGGCAGTACCAGCTTCCAATATTCTTTTCCAGGTGATATTTTTCTGAGGAAACATTTTTCAGAGTCAAATTTTGTCACCAGATTACATTGATACCTGTGCACTTGTTTTAGAGACAATCTGAATGCAAAATAAATTGGTGGCTTGATAAGAGGAGAGCAAAATCTGATAGCAGTCATATCTTTGTGTACATTAAAATTCTGCCTTTCCAAGAATAGTGGTTGTGGTAATTCAGTGTTGACATGTAGACCTTCACACAATCTAAGTGATTTTTAGTACTTTAGAAAACTTGTGTAACTTGGAAGAGCAGACAGGTGGAATTCTATGAGCTGGTTTATTACTAGGAATTATTGTGAGTAATCTATTAGACTCTTGATGCATATTGTAGAATAGTAAGAAAGTGAGATACCAAGAGAACCAACCAGATCAGTAAGGATATATGGAAATTTCTAAGGTTTTTGTCCTGGATCTCCTTCTCTCTCTCTAGGTTAGCTCATTTAGATTTATGGAATTGCATAAGATCTATAGAAAGACAGTTCTAAAATTATACCCAACTGAGGATTTGACATCTCGGGTGTCCAATAGGCATCTCCAAAACAAAATCCTTGATGTCATGTCCTTTCCCTCTTTTCCCATTTAAATAAATCACAATTTTCCCAGGTTAGTTCTCATGCCCAAAACCTAGGGTGGTTCTTGTTTTCATCAGTGTCAGGTATCTTTGTCCCACCTGGATCCATTCTCCACTCTTGTCTCTTCACTTTGTTGTCCTGCATTCTATTGCAGTGATAGGGTTTTTTCTTATTCTGGCTTGAACAAGAAAAAATTGCTTTTGGACAAAATGAAGCCCCAGAAGGGTTCAGAAACATTGAAGTCAGGAGTCTTTACTTGCTTGGTTTCTTGGATCTGAGGCTGCCTTGAGAGATATTTCTGTCCATGGAAAGTTGCTGCTCCCAACTGACAACACATGGAGCTTTTACTTTCCCAGTGTTACTAATGTCCTAATGGCTCTCTGTCTCCTCCCTTCAAGATGTGGAGAGAGCCCCAAATCCCATCACTGTAGCCTAAAGTCCCCCGTACTCACATGTTTGTAAATTCCTTTTTACGTAAGCATATCCTGAATTATCTTAAATTGAATGTTCCCAGGACTATGACATGTCTTTCTACATCCAATTCATGCAAGAATATAATTCCAACATGTATCTAGAATTTTTCTATTTCTTCCTTTTTACTACCATGAATTAGTCAATATTATTGCTTGCCAGGATAACAAATAAGGTTATTGTGATTATTATAATATCTTTACCTGTTTGTTCTTAGTTCCTTTACGAAACATAATAATCATTTAAAGATTCAATATTCATCCCTTCATCTGAAAACCCTCCAAAGGGTCTTCTTATGGAGAGACAATTGCAAACCCTTAATACCTCTCTAAACTCATCTTACTCTGAGCCACTCTACCCTATTAAATAAGCCATGCTTGCTTCCGTTTTAGACTCCTTGCATCAGCTCTTTCCCTTGGCCTGAAACACTCTGGACTCTCTTCCCTATAGGACTGTTATTTCAGGATTCAGTGAAGCTTTCCCGACTAGCAACTAGCCATAGTACTTATTGTGAAGTTCTCTGCATAGTATTTACTACCCTATGACAAAAATCTTAAACAAAAATATCGTGTTTTTTTATCCATAGCTTACATGTAACAGAAGGTCTTTGTCATGTATCTCATAACTACACATTGCCCGATACACAGTCACTAAACAAAGGGAACGAGAATGGGCTTTCTTCATTGCATCCTACAGAATACTTACACCAAGAGGCTTTACTTTAGAATAGCCATTGGCTGGTTGAATAAATAAGTAAGGTTTATGACTTACAACTGGAATGTTTCATTGTACTTTGGTGACCATGTGTTGCTTTTTGTCTTTGTGCCTTGTTTTCTCTTCTTGTCTCCAAGGTTGGGACCCAGTAGGCAAACTTCCACAAAGGGGCGGAACATTGCTGAGGTCTGCCAGTTTAGGTCATTAATAGCAATCACTAAAATCCGAAAAGGGAAGGGATTATGTTAGCAAATAAAGGTGTGGAAACTTAGCTTCCTCCATGTGGTTATTATGCTGAATTTTTATTCTAAAAAAGTGATTTCATTTGATAGTGTCCTAATCCCATTAACAAGGAAGTAACCTTGAAGGAAAAACAATTTACTCTCCAAAATGCACTCCTGACATGAATTTCTAAGCTGTGTGGCACTGGCATGGTGAAAAATTAGGTACAACTGATATGGCTTCTGTTACTAATGACAAGTCAGCATTCCTTGTTATGTAAGACCATGGTGTTTTTCACATCAAGAAGTATGTAGGAAATATATGAAACTCCAATTTTAATTTTCAGACTGACAATATTTTCAACATTTAAGTACAAAAACATTAGCTTTATTTTAAAAAGTGAATCATGGACATTTACTTCATTATTTTTCAAGTGCAAATATATTACACTGTATGGATATACCACCTATACTTAACCAGTCACTTTAAACACTTAGGTGTTTCCTAATTTCAGGAAAACAATTTCAAATGAATGTTCTTATTTGTTTGCTTATGCTTTGATAATATCAAAATGTCTTGGAATTGCTAATGCAAAAGACACTTTATATGCATGCACCTTTATCTGTATTCTTACCAGTTATCTATTATATTCTAAAAGAAACATAGCATTTTACTCAATATACTCATGATCAAAACCATGGTATCCTGATATATTTTAAATTTGTTTTACATAATGTATTTTATAGACTGTAGCTAACTCAAATTTTACCTTTTAAATTATTCTTGCAGTGAGACTGCTTTTACAATGTAAAACTAATAGATTGAGCCATATATTAGTTCAAAAAATGTTGAAAATCACAGAAAGAAATAAGTTGATAAGTCTATGTGAATAGTAAGAACCTAACATTTAGCTTTGAGAAGTTATGAAGCCAACCATAGTACTAGTTTCTAATTAAAATCATAATACCAACCATGGAATGTACCTAGTTTGGAAATTTAGATACCTGTGTATTTAAACCATTCAGATGTTTTAAATAATTGTTTTGGTTTTCTGAAGAAATTGAGCATGACCTATATTTTAAAAATTAGATATGAGAAAAATTACATTTTCTTGCTATGGCTGTTTAATTTATCTGAACATGAACCATACCTTTTACAGTGACCTTATGCTCTCCAGTTCCTGGGGTTGCAGTGACATCCACGTGAACAGATATCTGACCCACTGCATCTTTGGAGGAGCGACCTGCGAGTAAACAGAAGTTAACTGGCCTGGAATTTTAGATGTTCATCAACTTGTCTATGTTCTGTGCATGAGTTACAATGTTATTGGAAGTAAATGGTTCTTTCCATTAGTAGGTCATAAAAATTGTTTTCTATACAGGTTTGGGTATAATTATACTTAGCCTATTGAGCTAAAATTTCATAGGGTCTACAAAAGTTATAAGATACATTATTTCTGTTACATGAACTTGCAGTTGATTTACTCTGAACTTAATAAAGTTGTAGTCACTGCATATATACAAGGATGCATCATTGCTTTCATTCTTCTAAATTTTTTTCTGTGATTTGACAGACCAGCGTAGTAGAGACCCAAAGATGACTCTGGAGAGCACTTGCTTTCATGAAGCTCACAGTAGTCCAGGAAGACGAAATACAAAGGTGTTATTGGAATAGGGTAAAGGTATGATAGATACATTTGCAATGTGTATATATGGCATAAATAAGAGTAGTCAACTCTATGCTGGTGAAGATTAATTCAGAGTTAAACATGTTGTATTGGAAAGTACCTGTGACAGAGTCAAATAAAACTTGAATTCAAGCCATAGTTATGTCACTACTGGTTCTGTGATCCTATAATTTACTACATTCTTCAGCCTTAGTTTTCTCTTTAGAAAAATGAGATCACCAGCCTTGAACATACACATTTTTTCCCCATGAATCAAGACACATGCAGTCATTATTAATCTTACCTTTTATCTTTTCACCTAAAATGATTTATGATGGTCATTCTATTCAGTATTATATAAAGTTGCCATATTCTTTTCTATGACTGAGAATGCTACAGCACTAATTACAAAGTAAATGTTCAATGGATATACATGCTTGAAAAATGAATCAAAGAAGATTGCAAATATTTAATATTAAACACGAATATATTACAAGTTAACCTTTTTTCAATTGTTTCCTGTTTATCATGAATTAGTATCTTTCACTTATACAAGATTATTCATAGTATAATGAGTGGGATATTTTTCAAAGTTACAAAATTTTAGTTTGTAGCCCTTTACATTCTCATTTGTAATGTGAGATTAACAAGAATCTTATTTTCTGTGAAAATATTCTCATAAAATGGTTAATTCCTAAAGCTGAAAATCTTTAACTTCAGAAAATCATCAGGATTTGGGCCAGAAACTTTCAAGAAGACCTGTGGAAGAGCCTGTTCACTTCTAGGGCCTCCTTTACCCATCATAGCCATTTGATAATAGATTGAAATTATAAAGTGGTCATTCTGGGCATAAGTAAAGAGGCTGGCTATTCTCTGCTGGAAGGTGGGGAAAGAAAAGGGGAAAAGTTCCCTACTCCTGAAGGGGAGAAAACTGAAATTGCAGTCCAGATAGTCATTTTGTTACAGGACTGGTTGTCTAGATATTTGACTTGAGCAGAGTCAAATGGGTGGAAAAAAAAAAAACACAAAAAAAACTGCGTGTGCCCAGCCTACAATCTGAAGTCCGTAATTCCCAAGTATGGGGGATGGTTCCTGAATGGGCTTTATGTGCTAGATCTGGACATGAGATAGGGAAAAGGCCGTTGTGGGCTCTGTTCTTGTCAGGGATGGGGCCAGGCTGGGTGGAGCAGAGGCAGGTACCTTAGAGGACTGTGGATACTAACATTACAAGAGGCTAAAAAGGAGTAAGTAGCTAAGTGTCCAGCCTTATGAGAGCCCATCAAAGCCTACGGGAACTATTTGGAAGTGAGTCTCACACCAGCTGCTCTAGGGACATCTTTCCCAAAGTCAATGATCTAAGACAAATGGATAACAACCTTTGGCCACTAAAGGTTGCCATCTAAGTTCAAATACCATTTTCCATTGTCTTCCTTTTCCTTCCTTCCCAACACCAGGGAGACTACCCCGAGGAGGAGGAAAGGTATACACCAGAGAAGATCACACTTTACTCCTCTTCTCCTGGAGGCACTGTTTTAGCTTGCATTTAGGACAAATGAGGAAAGCTCAGGTGTGAAGGTGGATGAAACTGATAAAACTCAAATTTTCTAGTATCACCAAAAACAGTAGGAACCCCAACTATGATATTAGTAAGGAGGGTGTCTACTCTATAAAAAGCAGGGTTCCTGAGAGAAAATTGATAGTAATCTTTGGAATAGTTCCACGTTGCTGGATTGATGATATCCTTAGGAAATGGAGCCTTCCTATTCAAGAACACAATAAGTGTATCTTCCCATTATTCAAGTCTTTTTGCGTGTGTGTGTACATTGAAAACATTTCTTAATGTACCTATCATGCTTTAAAAAAATCTAGTCCTAGGTATTTTATCTCATTTTAAATGGACTAGTTTTCTTTATAACTTATAATAAAAAAGTTAATTTTCTACCTTAATTTTTTTTAACCGAGGCAACTGAGTTTTTAATGAAAGATTTTCATTTAGTCCTTAAGGGTATGTGGGTATAATAAAAAACAATTAGCTGGTCTTGCTTGCTTTGGCTGATTTTATTGGCTTGTACTTCTATGGTTTTAATGCATGATGTTGTTAAAAGTGGGTAGGTTTGTTATCCTCCATTGGGCTCTCCACATTTGTTTTCTACCTCATCCATCCTGCTCTATGCCCTCAGACTAATCTGTATGAACAATCAGTGATGCCCTCTATTCTAGCATCCAGTATTTTGGCCAGATGTGTAGTCTGTGCCAGTCCCCTTTTGCTGGCTGAATCCTGTAAACAAATTTTCCTCAAGCAGCTGTTGTTAGGTGACAGTCTCTTTTCTGACCCTGATAACTTCTTCCCTTCCCCTTTTACTTTTGTCATAGGGAGGTTAGTCTACTTTTCCTTCTGGCTGTCTAATATCCTGCCCATGCCTTTGTACCTGGTTCCTTTATTAAATTCTCTTCCAATTGGGATGTGCCAATTGAATCCTGTTGGGACAGGAGTTAATGTCCTGATTGGAGTTAATATCATTGATTTGCTCCTAACAGAAATGCTTTTAGTATTTCCTCAATAGTCTTGTGTTTTGAGGATCAACAAGCTAATATTTGGTGGAGTAGGGAGGGCTTAAAATATGAACATTCACTGCTTTTCCACAGTGGGGGACATGCCTAAGGAGGGTCTTGAAGGTTGAATTGGAATTCATCTTGTAGACAAAGGTAGCAGAAGAAATAGCAAATAAACAAATGTAGGTGCATAAAGCAGAAAGGTATGTCTTAGAAACTGCAAAGAATTTAGTATGGATGGAGCTTAGATGCAGGAGTGACAAGTGGAAATGCTAGAAAGTTGAACTCATCCTAAAGCTGATGAAAATTTAGTTTCTAGTCATGAGATTATAGTCAGGGATTTTAAGAAATCCTCTCATCTGTATAAAAGATGGATCTTTCTTTTCACCCCATTCTCTTCTGCAGAGCTTCACAGTTGCATCTCACTATACTGAGGATCAAACCTTAAAACCCAATCTTTGACTAGGATGCCTTTTATTCCATCCACACTGCTGGTACCTGCTGCTATCATTGAACTAATTCTTCAAAACCTCCTATTTTATTTTTTTTTTAAAAAAACTGCAAGTTTGGAACATTTTCCATATTCTATGAAGCCCTGTCTAAATAGCTGTATTATTAAATTCTTTCATTTTTACATTATAAATATTTAATTACATTCTTTTTTATATCTTTTTTTTCTTTTTTTATTGGTTGTTCAAAACATTACATAGTTCTTGATAACCCACTTGAATCAAAGTGTGAAATATGATTTATGAACTCCCATTTTTACCCCGTATACAGATTGCAGAATCACATCAGTTACACTTCCATTGATTGACATATTCATGTCTGTTGTATTCTGCTGCCTTTCCTATCCTCTACTATCCCCCCTCCCCTCCCCTCCCCTCTTCTCTCTCTACCCCCTCTACTGTAATTCATTTCTCCCCCTTGTATTATTTTTCCCTTTCCCCTCACTTCCTCTTGTATGTTAATTACATTCTTGATTGCCGCATACTATGTAACATGGTACAAAGACTTGTGGCAATGGAACAAGACTGCCCTGAATATGTTTTCTGTTGCTCATTAACAGTTACGAAAATGAAAGTCCACAGAGTTTTAATTATTTTTAAATGGTGAGAAAACCACATATATAAAAGCATTATTATAAGGATAAAAGATATTTTTTTAAAAAAATGTGGGTTATCTGCCCATAATAACTGCCCAATAAATGAAATGTGTTTAATACTTTAATCCCTTAAAGATTCTTGAATAATGCCATATATGAAAATTATGTAAAACCCCCATGAATATTATAGTTATCTTAGCCATAAAATTATCTTTGAAGGGACTACAGTTTTCCCTCAATGACTTTGTAATTCTTTTATTGCATTCAACTAAGGATATTTTACAGATAAAGATGTCAGATTTTCAAGGATCTCCAAATGGGAAAAGCCCCCCCCCTCACCGTCATAAAACATCAATCCTGTCAAATGTATTTTCTCAATAGTTTTTTAAAACTATTTTTGAAACCAGGGATAGCAAGAAAATTCCTTCAAACAGAAAATGCATACAGCTTGTGACTTTTAAGACAAAAAATAACAAGTACTGATGAAGACTTGAAGGGAATCTTTATGCACTTGGTAGAAATATAAATTTGGAGTCATTATGAAAAACAGTATGGAGTTTACTTAAAAAATAAAAACAGAGCTACAATACAATCTAGCAATCCCATTATTGCCCATACATCCAAAGGAAATGAAATTAATCCATCCAAAAGACATCAGAACAACCCTGTTCACTGCAGCACTATTCACAATAGCCACGAAATAGAGACAACCTAAGTGTTCAGCAGCTGAGCAGACAGAAAGTGCACATATAGTGCACATATACACCATAGAATACCATTCAGCCATACAAAATGAAATCCTGCAGTTTGCAACAACATGGATGGAATTGAGAGATCATTATGTTAGGTGAAATAAACCAGGCACAGAAAGACAAGTACTGCATGACTTCACTCATGTGAAATTTTATAATATTGATCTCTTATAAATTGAGAATGGTGCTTTCC